GGGGGAAAAACTATACATCTTGGGTCTTCTTCTCTCATTAATTGAAGATCATCACCAGCATTGTCATCTGTCTCATCAGCCAAACCTGTGATTAAATTCCACACACATGCCTGCTCTCTTCATTCATCTCTACATGACTATAGGCAAAGAGAAAATGGATTAGACATTTGTGGAAAGATTAAGCTTTATTTAGTTGTGGGGTGTATGCAGACCACAGTGTAATGCTTCCTCTTACTCTCTGGATTCCAGCAGCATAGTAATTATCCAAGCTTCTCTGGTAAGAACTGAGCAGAAGCAAGCAGTTATTTCAACATCAACTGACAACTAAACCTCTCTTGGGTCACAAAACATAAGCCAACTCAACAGGAAATAAGAGCATAATGCAGATCGATCAATAGTGTGATAATGAGAACAGGTTGTGCTTCTTCTATCCAGAAATCTAAAAGTCCTCAGAAGCTGAAACTTTTTGCCATCAGCCACCCCTTCCGCCTTCAAGGCAGCGGAGGCATTCCTGCTCATTAGCCTCTCTGCAGCATCAGCTGGAGAGAAAAGAGGATTTGAGCAAGAACCAGTAGGAATGCTGCTGACACCTTGAAGGCAAAGGCAAGCAGCTGGCAGCAGCAGGAGAAAGACCAAGGATCTGTGAAATGGCAAAGGATGTGGATTCACATGGAGCACTGCACTTGGATTTCTCCCATTTCACAGATCTTCATTCTTTCTCCAACCTTGTGTCCCATATATAACATAAGTAGCAAATGATTGAGACGTGAGGCTATTCTAGAAATGGACTGTTCTAAAATCCAATAAATAAATTAAAATACAGAATGCTGCTGCCACCAAGTATTTTGGATAAGGGCAGAGTAGCAGGTGGAATCTTTCATTCATTCCAGTACACACACAAACATGCACAGAAAGGGGGAAAGAACTGAGTTAGAATATTGTGATGCATAATATAAAAAATAAGATGCCATCCCTTGCTTGTTCATGGTCACCTACTGATTAGACCAGTGGTTCTCAACCTGTAGGTCCCCAGATGTTTTGGCCTTCAACTCCCAGAAATTCTAACAGCTGAGAAACTGGCTGGGATTTCTGGGAGTTGTAGGCCAAAATACCTGGGGACCCACAGGTTGAGAACCACTGGATTGGACTGATTGAACTGCCATCAGCATAGAACAGGTCCCTCCATTTGGACAGCCATGTAGCATATAGATAGGGTTCCAAGGAGGCTGTCCCTTTAATGGCTGACTAGGAATATCAGCAGGTGTTGCTAGTATGAGTGTCAGCACACACTGAAATCCCCTCTTCTACATAATCATTAAAGAGACAGGAGCCCTGGCTCTTATTTTATCTGGCAACCCTATATAAGAGTTCTAACTTGAGTTTGACACTTTGGGCTTGTTCATATGTAAAGGTAAAGGTTTTCCCCTGACATTAAGTCCAGTCGTTTCCAACTCTGGGATGTAGTGCTCATCTCAATTTCTAAGCCAAAGAGTCGGCGTTGTCCACAGACACCTCCAAGGTCATGTGGTCGGCATGACTGCATGGAGAGTCATTACCTTCCTCCTGGAGCGGTACCTATTGAGCTACTCACATTTGCATGTTTTCGAACTGCTAGGCTGGCAGAAACTGGGGCTGACAGCGGAAGCTCACGCTGCTCCCCGGATTTGAACCTGCAACCTTTCGGTCATCAAGCTCAGCTTAAATCACTGTGCCACCAGGTGTTTGTTCATAGTACACCATTATAGCACTCCCATTCCACGTTAACTGCTATGGCTGCACCCTAGGAAATCATGGAGTTTGTAGTTTATCGAGGTACTAGGGCTTGCCAGCAAATAACTTTAAATTGCTTCTCCCAAATAAATGTAGATACCAGGATTCCATAGGATGGAGCCATAGCAGATAAAATGGAACCATAGTGTCATGGCCAACTCAGATTGTGAGCACAAGGAGTTGTTTGAAGGGCCAGCAGTGGAGATTGAGATCAACAGCTCCCAGCAGTTGGCTATGTCTAGCTCAGCCATTGCTGTAGATGAGCCTTCAGAAGAAGCAGAGACAAGCTTCTCTATATGAAGCTGAAGCAGGTTGTCTGAGCAAGTTACAGAGGGATTAACCATACCCACACCTGTAGAGTATAAGAAAGAGCAGCTGACAAATTATCCAGAATCAAACAATAGCTAAAGTCTTAAGATAAAAAGCCTTCAGTGTTACATCCCTTTGCAGAGTATAACATTATTTCCTGGTCTGAGTTCAATGCCTGCTTGTTCTGGGACCTGACTTTATTGGTGAGTTACTTAAAAGACTTCTAGTGATCTAATTTCTGGCTCTGGTATCTTGTTTGTTTGAATTGCATGTTTCTGTCTCTGGACTTCTGACTGGTCTGATGCTTTCTGAGGATTCTGGTGATTGGCATTTATGACCCTGGACTGTTGAACTTGACTATCTCAGTGAGTTTGTTTGGACTTTGTTTCCTCACTGTGGCTCAGTTTACAATGCACAGTGTTATAATGTTATTATCTGGTAGAAAAGTGCCTTGGGTTTGTTGATATGGGATTTTCATTTACTCATCTGTTATCTAAGGGTCATTTTCTTCATCAAATGCTGAAATCTACCTTATTTTCTCTCTGAAATCCTTTCCTTGCAGCCTGTCTTTTTAAAGACATCATTGAAATGAGATGGTTGCCTTTGGCATAAAATACTAGGAAATAGGGCATCTGTTATCTTCATATAACCGTTCTGCCTGCAGCTTCTATGATCTTTACACAATTGCCTTTATTTTATTTATATTTCCTAAGGAAAAATGTGGTGATTGTTTCAGACTGATTTGTTTGTTCTGTAGCTATAAGGATTTCTCCTTCCCTTTTTCCCCTTTGTCTCCATTCTCTTTCTGGTGCACATTACCCTGCTGACTTGTGACACTTATTTTGTAACAAGCACTTAGAGATTTTAGTAACTTACTGAATAATAAAGATTGATGGCATTCCACATATCTTCACATTTCTCCTTCAACAAGGCTTCTCTTACTAAGCCGATTTTGCTTTGTGACATTGAGATCTCACTCTGTGATGTAGTTAACTATCCTAAAATTGTTCCAGATCATCAGTGCAAAAATAATCCTCAGTTGCCTGGATCCTATTGTTAGTCCCAATGACTAAAAACCCATTGAATCATGGTGATATGCGGAGAGGGCAATGATGTTGGCTTTCATCAGTTATGTATAGTCTTTAATGGTGTCTCTAAGCTTAGCTTCTCAGTTACACAGAAGCAGACTAGTCTTAGACCAGGAGCAAAATGCTAAGCAAAATAATGAGAGCTTTTTGCTGTGACATTCCAAGATCCATAATACAATTTTGTTAAAAGTAGGTTTGTGATCATACAATTATTATACCACTTGTGGCTCATGTTGTTCATATTCCTCTCTCTTTTAATTTCTTATATTGAAAAACAGAATGCTGTTTCTTTGACCACAGATATTATATCCATATTCATCATGAAATTAACAACCATATCACTAAAACTATAGCTTCTGCTCCTGGAGGCCCATTCAGATCCATAGCATGCTAGCATGACTTGCGTTGAAATTTGTCTTGAAGTGAAATCTTCATAAATCTCCAAACTGTGAACTTAAATTCTTTCAAATACAATGTTTTTTCATCCAGAATTAAGAACATATGGCATCACCGCATTAGTAGACATCACTATTTCCCCTTCATATAGCAGCCTAAAATAATGCACAAGTAATCTAGAGACCCTGGTTAATTGTGGAAGTAGATTGTGGCATGGGAAATTGAGAGAAGAAAGTCTTTAAAAAGCAAATAAACAGTAGATGGCATGTGTATGATGTATGCTTATGTCCTTTTGGTGTGCACCAGGAATGATGATGACAATGATGATTTATTTCTATCCTGCTTTTCTCTCTCAAGTGGGACTCAAAGCAGCAAACAATGGTAAAACAAATACAGCATAATACAAAAACAGAACATTATCACCCCAAATATATAAACAATAAATGAACTCCTTGTATAGACACATTAGGTAAAACTTATAAAATAAGCATAAAATAACAACTTTATAAATTATCGTTAAAAATCCCTGGGCCTCAGACCACTGAGGTGTTCTAAAACATAGTACTAAAAGTCTCCAAGCTCCAATTCGTTGGCCATATGAGCCTTGCCTGACCAGGAAAGCCTGCTTATTGTGAGTTGTTGGGGAAGGCCTGCTTCCATAAAAAGGTTTTAACCTGGGAGAGAAAGGTCAATAACAAAGGGGCCACACACCTCTTTGGGGAAGGAGTTCCAGAGCCTCGGGGCCACAACTGAGAAGGCCCCCTCTCTCGGTCCCCTCTCTCGGTCCCACCAAACATACTTGTGACGGTGGTGGGACCTAGAGAAGGGCATCTCATGATGATCTCAGGGCTCATGTGGGACTGGTATTCACTTCCTTCTTCCACAGTGTCCAAAGCCCTTTACAGACTCACTGAACAGTACCTGAAGTTCCTCACATAGTAATTCCAAAATGCGTGGCAACTGGGCAGAATTGCTGAAAACATCAAAGCTGACATCTACTGGGCATCCTTTGGAGGTCTTGCTGCTGCTGTATTCATTTCACAGCTGGCCAGAAGAACATAATAAGATGTTCCAGATGTGAACCTACTATGCTACACTGAACAGACAGGACTGCAGCCTTTGAAACAAGATGCTGTACTTCTGGAAAGTATCATAATCTAATGTTGTATTTCTTCTTCTCAGTTCCTAACACCATGGCTTAATCCATTCAGGGTGGTCACCTGACTATCAATGTGCCATAGGGAGAAAGAGCAATGATATTTTCCATCACCATATTATGCGATTAATTTTGAGTCCCATCTAATAAATACAGTTAAGACTACATTTGTCTCTCCAAATTCTTCTGACATATAATGGGATCTGTTTTCAGATAAGCAATGTATTTTTTTATAAAGAAAAAGTATGCATCATTTCAAAAAAATATAGAGCACTTGATCAAGAGCATTTATTTTATTTGTAGTGTGTTGGTAAAGCAGAAGCTGTTCTTTTTGCTTTGCTTATGTTTTTTGAATGAACAGCTACAGAATCTAAGCAACAATATTTCGGTAACTGATAACCAATCAACTCCTCCTTGCACCACGTTTTACTGCACAATATGATATTAAATACACTGGTGAAAATCCATTATAATGTTACCAAGTTGCAAGGTGCTGGATTATTGCATGAGCAGTTATGCAAAGTGACAGTGCAAGAGGTGCTACAACCAGTTGTGAAACCACTTACTCAACCTCTTTGCAATTACAGGCTAGAGAAATATGCAAAATGCTCAGTCTTTTGAATGGTGTACACTTGCATTTTGTTGTACAATCCACAGTTGGTAAAATTCATGCTTAGTTGTACAATACTTTTTTGTACTTAAATAGATCAATTTCCCAGTTCCTGGTCAATCCCAGAAAAAATTTGTTTACAAAAGATATTGGAAGCATCTGAAGCTTGGAAGCAGTTACCTGTAATGATTTATTTCAGGGTAGGAAGGCATAATGAAGTCACATTTACTCTTGTTTTTTTCTGCACTGATGTTTAACACAGAACCGATGAAACTCATTGTTATAACAATACCGCCCCATGGCAGCTTGCAGCCCAAAAAAAAAAAACCTGGGAAAAAGAGTCTTAACATTCTTTCACACTGATGAATGAGAAAACCCATCCAGTGTATACAGAGCCATCTCAGTTACACCTTGTTGGCCACCTCCATCAATGGGAAATGATACTATGCCACTCTCTGCATTTTTAGCAATACAGGATCTTGAGGAAAGCTTTACGGAACTCGTTGTTGAAGGTTGTGTAGATAACTGGGTTGAGGGCACTGTTGACATATCCTAGCCACGTGGTAGCACTGTATACCTCTGGAGAAATATGACAAGCTGGGCAGTGGGTATTCAATATGTGTATCAAGAAGAATGGCAACCAGCAGACAATGAAAGTCCCTAGGATTTAATAGAAATGAGATATCATCAGCACTTTTAGCTCAGAAGTGTTTCATTCTCAGGACAAATCTCTGCTCATGGAAACCTGTGATCCAGTCCATCTTATTTAAGGCAAAGGGGAATGATGCTTGATGAATTAGTTCATGGAGAGCTCACCCACAACTCTTGGCATCTTTACACAACTCTAAAAGGACCTATCAAGTTCCCTTGAGTATCTCCTCACATGTCTGAAGAGGTTAAGGTAAGAAAGTTACTCCCGTTATATTAAAAAAATAAAATAAAATAGAGCTGATTTATATTTATTTTACATAATGTATTGCAAGCTTGCATATATGTAATCTGCTCAAAATCTCTGGCTTCTCGGGCTTCATCATGTGCAATGAAAATGATATAAGTGTTCATATTTTATTCCCTCCATAGTAGAAAAAGAGCTTAGCAAAGGAGGGAAGGGTTAAGCACATTTCTTTATGATTCCTCTAATAAAGTTCACAACTGAGTTTCAATAGCTTTTCATTAAAACCAAAGAAAAGAAAACCTTATGAGACCTTCAGCCATGATAAATTGTTTGGCCCCATTCCTGTATAGATTAGAAATGCCTCTACTTACCAAGAACAATAGCTAGCATCTGGGTGGCCTTCCTCTCTCTGAGCTGTATTGTCCTATGCTGCTGAGATGGTAGTTTCAAGGATGTGGTTGTTTTGCCATTGTTCAGTTTGCGCACTTCCAGGCTTTGCTGTTGGGTTTTTCTTCTCACTTTTAGGTTAACAGCCTCTTTATCTCCTGAACTGGAGAATGAATTTTCACGGCAGATACTGCAATACTGCTGCAGTTCAGGGGGAGTCAGGGGCTTCTTTTCAGCTGGCAGCTTGTGATCTGACGAACACTTGAACGGGAAGCAAGACAAGGGCACGTTGGGAGGCTTCTGGTGCAAACCTGTTATTTCTAAATGTTTCTGGAAAACAGGAAACAAATAACAGTCAGCCAAAATGGATATAACCATTCTTTTTGTGACCTCCAAGCAAAGTAGTCCCAATCCTACAAAAGGAAACTCAAACTTAACCTTTAAAAAGCCCCGGAATTCACACTTAAAACTACAACTGAATTTTGTTGAGTTGCTCTTTATATAGTTATTATTTTGTTACAATATTTATTTATTATTATCATTATCATTATTATTATTATTCAAAGTAAAACAAAACACTTTTTAATGAAATGAAATGAAACTTTATTTTATAGTCCACTCCTTTCTCCCCAAAGGGACTTGGAGTGGCTCACAATGAAAAATACAATGGCAAACATTCAATGCTGACAGTAATATATAAGCAAATTGATAAACAAACCAAGAATTACTCAATAAATTATAAACTTGTAACTTGTAAGGATCTAGAAATGCTTCTATAAGCACAAAGATACATAGATAAACAAAAGTTGATATCTAGTTGTCTTATCAATGGTTTAAGTGTAGCATTACATGATTCTTCCAGATTAGACAACATGAACAAATACCTCAATATGGACTTTTGTTTATAGTTTGCAATTACAGACCATTAATTCCCACAACCTGCAAAGGTAATTTTTTTTCTCCACTGCCCTGAAGGAATTGCAAAAGGAGCTCCTATTTGTTTATTGATTTGTCTTTCAATAAAGTTTGTTAATTCATTACTATAAGTTAAAACATCTTATCAATTCAATCCTCAATTGTTGGAATTTCATTACTTTTCCATTTTGGGGTACATAGGACTCTTGCCATTGTAATAATATATTGTTAATGTCGAAACACAGATGACTTAAAGCAGGAGTCCTCAAACTTTTTGAACAGAGGGCCAGGTCACAGTCCCTCCAACTGTTGGAGGGCCGGGGTATAATTTGAAAAAAAAAACATGAATGAATTTCTATGCACACTGCACACATCTCATTTGTAGTGCAAAAAACACTTTAAAACAATACAATAATTAAAATGAAGAACAATTTTAACAAATATAAATTTACTAGCTGTGCCCTGCCACGCGTTGCTGTGGCCTTTAGTAAGAGTTTTGAAGTCTCTGCCTGGCCTCTCTTCCTTCCTTCCCTCGCTCTCTTTCCCTCTTTCTCTCTCTCACACTCCTTCCTTTCCCCCCCCCTCTCTCTCTCTCTCTCTCTGGCATCCCTCCTTCCTCCCCCTTCTTTATGCTTGTGTGTAAACTTGAGTATTTTCTGTTGGTCATGGGGGTTCAGTGTGGCATGTTTGCCCCAATTCTGTCGTTGGTGGGGTTCAGGATGCTCTTTGAGTGTTGGTGAACTCTGAATCCCAGTGACTACAACTCCCAAATGTCAAGGTCTATTTCCCTCAAACTCCATCTGTGTTCATATTTGGGCGTATTGAATGCTTATGCCAAGTTTGGTCCGGATCCATCATTGTTTGAGTCCACAGTGCTGTCTGGATGTCGGTGAACTACAACTCCCATACTCAAGGTCAATGCCCTTGAAGACAAAATCTATATATATAAATCTGCTAGGTTGGTTCAACGGGACAGCAAAACTCTAAGGGAGGGGGTGTGTCTTTCCGGAGGGGGAGGAAGGAGTGAGTCAGGGAGGGAAGGGGTGGGGCGAAGGGAGGGGGCGACTTTGAAGACATGCCCCCTCCCTTCGCCCCACCCCTTCCCTCCGTGACTCACTCCTTCCCTCCTCCCTCCCTCTCCGGTTAGACACGCCCCTCCCTTCGCCCCACCCCTTTCCTTCCAGGAGTGAATCACGGGGGGAAGGGGGGGGGCGAAGGGGGGGGGGGGTGGTGTGAGGGAAGGAGTAAAGTCAGGGAGGGAGGGGGCGTGTTTTACTGGGAGGGGGCGTGTCTTACCGGAGCTGCGTTGGAGGAGGGAAGGAGTGTTTCAGGGCCGGAAGGGGTGGGGGGAAGTTGCGATGCGTGTGTGTGTGTGTTTGTGGGCGGCGACGTGTTCGTGCTGGGCGAGGGAGGGAGGGAAGTGCGGAGGGTGCATTGGCCGTTCGGCCATGTGTGTGCGCGCGCTGGGGGCTTTGCTCCAGTGCGCATGCTCAGTTGTTTTGCCGTTTTTTCTGTGTGTGGTTGTGTTGTTTTCAATTTTGAATGGATTAATTTGTACCGAGTGGGTTGTCCTTGGGGCATGGCAATTTTGGTGCAGTTTCGTTGGGGGGTTGTGGAGTTTTGCTGTCCCGTTGAACCAACCTAACAGATTTATATATATAGAATTAGTATTTCAATGAGAAGTGTGGGCCTACTTTTGGCTGATGAGATAGGATTGTTGTTGTTGTTGTGTGCTTTCAAGTAATTTCAGACTTAGGTTGACCCTGAGCGAGGGCCGAGTAAATGACCTTGGAGGGTCGTATCCGGCCCCCAGGCCTTAGTTTGAGGACCCCTGCCTTAAAGGGCCAGACTCAGAGTTACTTCCAAAACAGAATTTATTAAACAAAGGAAAAAGATTCAGAGACACTTAACTCAATGCCTCTAGTCAAAAACTCAAAAGTCGAACCAGTCCTGGTTTCAAAAGGTTAACCAAAGTAATAATCCGGATTATCAAGAGGAAAGAACCGGATTAAACAAAGTACTCTGAAAGTCATACAAAATGGCACAGCATGCAAGTGGTTAACAAAACAGAGAAGCCGCAGGGAAGAAAGCATAGTCAAGCGAAGTCCAGGTTCGTAGCAAGCAGAATCCGAAGTAGCGAAGTTCCAAAGTCCATAGAAGCAGCGTCGTAGTCAAACCGGTCCAAGGTCAAGGAAGGGAGAAATCCACACTCACGAGAATCCAAGCCGAATCGAAAGCACACACGAACAGGAGCAGCAACCTGCATATCCCAAACCCAATGCGTAACACGGAACAGGCAGCGACAAGTCCAGACAGTACCCAATGCACGAACGTATACCAACACCTTGCCCTCTGCAAAGATTCCCCATTTCAGAGCCCACTTTTATTACACATCATCCTCATCAGATGATGAGCTGACCACTGCCCCATGATTATCCCATGCAGCTACTCACAACTCCTCACATGAAGTCCCACGCCCATCCCTCCATCTTCTCCATCTCCTGTCAAGACTTAGATCCCCCCAAGACTCAGTTGGATCCCCGATTGCCAGTCTTCACTTCCAGAGAATCCCATACATGTATCACTAGATGTTGGCTCTGCACAAACAGTTTGCACTTCCTTTACCATAGTCCAATCCACAGTGTGATCCCTGTTTTCCCCACTCTGTGACCCATCATCCCCAGAGAAACCCTCAAATGATTCCTCTTCTGTAGGTGCTGTAAGTATATCCCGGATCCTCTTCCTTTGTTGCTCCTCATCCGATTCCTGCTCCCAAGTAACCCTCTTTGTTTCCCCTATTCCCATCCATTGTATCTCCCTCCTTCACTCATTGACCCCTCATCCCCAGAGAACCCCTCAAATGAGTCCTCATCTGTAGGTGCCATAAGTATATCCTGGATCCTTTTCCTCTGTTGTTACTCATCAGACTCCTGCTCACAAGTAACCCTTTTTCCCCTTCTGGCACCCATACTACTGCTTGCAATATTACTTACAGGCTCTACTACAACAGTTAAGATATATATGTTTTGCCTCTTATTGTGGATCCTCACAATAGTAATGGATGAGAATTTCATTTACATTTTCTTTCAGTCACAATTTACTAAAATTCAAATGTGGGGAAATGCAAAACTGACATATTTGCCCACCACCTAGTATTCCTTGCCTAAGAAAACCCAATGAAATTAATGATGTCATCATGAGTCACCAGACATCTTGAAGACACACACACACCTCTCATAGCATGCATGAAGGGGCATGCACTCTGAGTCCCCTTCTGACCCAATAGGATGAAGTGGAAGTAAAGCACCAACAAGCTGAATCTCTCTGAAGATTAGCTTTTATTTGCCGGCCATGCAAACAATTTATATAATTGCATACACCAAGAATGAGGTCCTGTGTCCTCCAAATGTTAATGGACTGAATGCCCTCATAACTTTAGCCACCAAAAAATGGTGACTGATATTGACCTATGTACTGCTGCATCCCAATTTACCTTCACAAAGACTTTGTGAGCTGGTTACACCAAGAGATAGTGATGCTCAAGATCTCCCATGTTCTTTCACTCTACACGAATGTTTCTCAAACTCTGATCCTCCAGGTGCTTTGGACTTCAGCTCCCAGAAATCCCAGCTTGTTTATCAGCTGTAAATCCAAAAACATCTGGAGGAACACAGTTTGAGAAACTGCTCTACACAATTATATCTCTTCGGTTCCATTTTTACTGCCATATTTGTATACTATGGAATTCTAGGATTTGTAACTTGTAAGGATCTAGAGCTCGCAGACAGAGGACCACACAGCCATATAACACAGAATATCAAGACAGAAAATCCCATAATATCTGCTTTGAACTGGATTATCTTAATCCACACTGTCATATATTTCAGTTCAAAGCAGATAATGTGGGAATTTATTCAGCTCTGTGGAAGTGGCCACAGACTTCTAAAAGTTTCATGAAACTACAAGTCCCAAGATTTAATGGGGGGAGCCATGGCAGGTAGAGTGGAACCAATATGCTATAATTGTGTAGTGTGACGCTTATTTCAGTGACACTTACTGCTGAGGAGAGATTTGAACCTGCATATCTCTACCCTCATCTATCTTGCAACTAAACTACAGTGCTTCGATGTCTCCCAGCACAAACAGATAGTAACCCACAGAGTATTGCAGACTGCAAATGTAAGTACTGCCTGTATATCTGCATCTAAAATAGCTGCATTCTGTGTGAAGAATGTATTTAATATGCAAATTATCCAATGAAATAAGTAGTTAGAAACTATTCATAACAGATGTGGCCATATATCTAATCCATCTCCAGCAGATTTTATTGCCTGGGGCTGTGTGCACTGTAGAGGTAACTCGTGAAATCCTGCATCTCTAAGTGATATTTTCCATACTTCATTGATGTGATTTAGGGCTATCAACCTGAATCAGTAAATAAAACATTTGCTCCCCAAAGTAAGTAATAGCATTAGTGGTTTGAAGGCATGTAATTTACTTTGCTAGTGCTTATTACTGCAGAAATTGGTCGTTTTTGTAATGCTGGAAACAGATGATTGTTGTTTTCAGACTTGCAGCTAGAATGATAAAGCCGTCATTGCTCATAAATTGCACAATCTCCCTCACAACTCCTGTTGAAATGAAAGCGCTAATGGTGTAGCATGTAATCCGAACCAGTGGGGTTGCGATAGGCTAGATGTCTTGCTAGAATAGATGCATGTATAGATTACTATACTTAGGTCTGACTTCCTTCTTCTTTTCCAGTCTTGCTTCCTCCTTTTCCTCCCAGCGGGAGACAAGAGGCTCTGATTAAAGCTGCTGTGTTTGATCTACATGCACATCACTCCCATATTGGAGCAGGGACAGAGCTTGGGGCAGGGCTTTTACTATCTCTTCACTACCATGATATTTCTTTTCATCACAGGTGTCTTCATTTTTCCTGCTGTTGCTGATGCCGTTGGCCAGGAAGAAAAGGCAACAGCACAATTTCCAGCCCTCTCAAGAAAGCTCACAATAATATATGTCTTGAAAAGATTGGGAAGCTTTGAAAAACTTAGCAGTCTGTGCCCTGAGCAAAATGGGTGGAGAGAATCCAAACTCCATTCCAACGTAGTCGGAAGTTCAAGAAAAAATGGCTAGTCACAGGAGTGGTTGTATTATCACACTGGCAAAGCCTAGGAAAGTCATTAGTACCCAGTCAACTAACACATAGAGCTATCCATTTTAAACTTCCAATACCATATCAGTGCATTGCCTTGATACCATCCTTTGTCCTTGCTAGCCCCATCTCCCTACCAAAGGCCTCGTGTCTCATGAAGGTTGTCTTCCATAGCTTGCCTCTTTATGAATACTCATACCCTTAACCGCTCTTTGTAGTCTATGGGAGAAATGGTGAGGAAAGTTACCCATACTGAGGCACAAGCAATTTTCTAGGTCATTTTTCCTAAAAGCCACATATTTAGGAATTTCTTGATTCAGTAAAGATCTTCAGACCAATTTTCTAGTGCAATATGATCCTTTCAGCAAATGGGAATTTGTGAACTCACAGTTCTTAGTGACATGTTTGCTTCTATGTGACATTTTTGCTTCTCTTCATGGTAGCGTTTGCTTTGGCTTGAACTTTTACTTTTTTGTTTTTGTCTTTTGGTGAAGTGTCTCACCAAGTGCTCCTGAGCAAACGTAGAACAAGAGGAAAATATTTCCCCACAGATAGGAACTGTTTAACAACATTGAAGAGGAGAAAGTAGCGAATAGGAATAAATGATTTTTTTAGAATTAAGAAAAAATATTTATTTACTGCATTTTTACCCACTCTATCTCACTCCGGAGGGGACTCAGAGCAACTTCCAGTTTGGCAATAAAAAAAAAAAGGGGGGGGGAGATTGGAAACTGGCTGAAAGTTTTTCAACCGAGTGTGGTCCAGTGATGGTTTTTTTCAACATGGATTTTATCACAGCCTCTTTTAGCCTGGCTGGTATCTTTCCTTCTTGTAAGGAGGCATTAACTACCAGCTTCACCCACTCCACCAAACCCCCTCTGGGCTGCTTTATTAGCCAGGATGGGCAGGGATCCAGGATTGATATGGTCACCCTCATCTCTCCAAGGATTTGTACACATTTTCAGGTTGCACCAATTGAAATGAATAAATTAGAACCGGACAAGCAGATGATCACGCTACATCTTCAAAGACTGCAGCTAAAGTTACATTTAGGTTGGAACAGATCAGAGCGACTTTATCCACAAAGAACCAGACAGGGTACTTAGTGTAGCTATTTTTCCCACCCAAAAAACCCTACCTCTTAAATCAGCTTACATAATAAATGAAGGGTTTCTGAAATACTGTAGATTTGGCTTAAGAGGTAGATATTTGGGATCATGTTCAGTCATGAACATCCATTGTGCCATCACACCCAGACCCTATAAAAATAAAACTAAGATGTGCTTCTCTCTTTGTCTGGGCGTACCGCGGGGGTCTTTCTTTAGAAGCTTGAGATTCCCAGCAACTGAGGCTATTACAGGTTTTGAACACCAAAACAGAATATTTATTAAAGTCCTTGCAGACTTGGCACAGCTTGGCAAAGTTACAAACAAAACAGTCAATTGGTGAAACCATAGAGATGTTATTTTCTTTCCTTCTTTCCTTTAGTCGCTGAGTTGCCCTCCTCCAAATGGTAGAAAAAATCCTGAGATCTTTTTACCCCAACCCTGAGCTACTATCTTTTAGAAAGTGTAGGCCTTCCCTATTCCAGCCCAAGGTTAGTTTGGAGAGGAAGCAAAAAGAGCTCAATAACTATCTCAATAGTCCTCTATACTAAATAGCTCAGTTAAGACTCAGTTGGACCCAATATTACTCAATCGTCTGTCTGTCTATCTATCTCAATTAGCTTTTTTTATCTATATAACTCAATCAGCTTCTCTATCTAATTAACTCAATCGTACTTACAATGATTTTTTTCAGAGCTATCTGGCTGGCCTAGTAGCACATCTGAGGCTTTTCTCTAAAACTGAAGGAGGCAGAGGAGATTCCAAAATGGAGATCTCAAGCCCACAAAAAAAGGCGGACTCCTAACCCAAAGAGATACTTTCTAAACCAATAGCTGCAAAAAGGCCTGCAGGCTGGCTTTCCAGCCTCTGATGCTGTTAACTTTCAGGGTGCAGCTGAAATTGTAGCAACCCTGGGAAAATGCAAAAGAATGCTAACCCATGCAGCTAAAAGGCAATGTAAACCATGCTCCTGGAAGACGGAACATCCATAAACATGAATCCCCAAATTTATGCGATCATAAATCCATTTTACAATCTCATAAACATAAAAGCAGAAAGTTTACTAATCTCTTGTACTGAGCCTTTGGTTCCTGATGATTTTATAAAATCCTGTACAAATGCATAGTTTTAAACTGCCTTGTTTTAACTTGTCAAATTTTAGAATATGCTTTTTGCCTGTGTAAATTATTTTTTTAATGATTTAAATTGGTCAAATAGGTTTATTATACACTTTCCTGAGATTCTTAAACTGAGGATGGGATATAAATATTTAAATAAACAACTATTCTAAAGCCAGAAAGACCGAACAACAGTTTGTGCAATCTACTGTGTGGAAAGATTACAAATGGGAACCTTTATCTTAGGGGGAAAACTAAGAGGAAACTTAATAGAGGTATATAAAATTAGGCATAGTTTACTTCCTAGGAATCAATACTTCCTAGGAATCAATACCTGCTTAATAAAGTTCAAACTTCAGTTTACCAGAGAACATTCTGTAATGTGGCATCCAGAAGACGTTTTAGATTAACATGAAACACAAATCTTGCTTCAGGGATACCAGTGATTGAACACATTCCTTAACTATTTAAGTCACATGAAAATTTACTAGTGTATAGAGGCTGACTATGTGGGAGGCAATGGAAAGATGAAACTAGAAGGAGTGAGTTGGTGAAAGTTGAACAGGGTGAAAGTAATGCAATATTGTGTAGGAAGTGAACAGACAATGTTGCGGGGAGAACACAAAAAGTGTAGAGCTGGATAGTCAGAGATATGTAATAAAATTTCTAGGATGGAAAGATGGGTCACAAGATAGTATAGAAAAATGTCCTACCTCCTGTGTGTAATAGGCTTTGACACCATGGTTGCCTTGTCTTGTGAGGATTCGTTTCCTCTGCCTTTGCCTCAGCACAATGTAAATACGGATGTAGAGCAGCAGGGTGACCAGGAATGGAAGATAAAAGGACACCACAGAGGAGTAGATTACAAAGTCAGGATCAGAAATAGCACAAATGCTGGGATCGTCTGAGGAAGAAAAGAAAGAAGAGTGAGGATGGGGCAACTGCAGAAATTGCTAGGAAATATGGGGACATAGCCAAATGCTTCTGCAATCCATCCAATTCTCTCCAGGCATTAATGTATAGCAAGCAAGTGCCTCTATGGCATGTTCAGGGAGTGGTAAATAAATAGCTCGGCACAGTATAATTCTACATGTAAAGCTACTACACTATGCTGAAGCATGCAGGATTGTACCTATAGTGTAGTGACCACGGGCGTCTTAATGGTGGTGATGAGATTTTGGCTGATGTTGCTCTCTATTTCGATAATTCCAGGGAAGCTGAAGAGGGTATGATCACCAAGGGAAGAAAACTGGTCAATTATGTTTGTGTATTTTTAGGGGCTACTGTGCCTCTAATCACTATGAAAGTTTTGGAAACATTGATTTGGGATAATCTATCAGTATGGTTTCAAATGAGCATGTTTTTGGGGGTATTCAGATACCCTTGTTGTAATTGATCTGTCCTTTGTGAATTGCCATTTGAATTTACAAGCCTGTTTTTTTCACAGAAACAATTTTTTAATAGTAATGACAACACTTTCCCAAAATTCAAAATATACTCCCTGGAGAATGGATTAATAACTTAAATGCATAATACTAGGGTTTGATTGTAAATAAAGTTCAGATGTCAATATACTTTTTTACCTGTAGTATTGAAGCCAAAGAGAAGAGGGCAGGAAACAGCAAATGCCAATGACCAGACCACTGTGATCATTATGGAGACTCTTCGACATGATCTGGGCCCTGTGCTGTACTGATAATGAACAGGCATAACTACTGCTGTGTATCTGCAAAGTGAACCAATTCCAAAGCAAGGGCAGCAACAATGGAGGAGTCATGAGGAGAAGAGGGAAGTGGAGGATAGGGAAGAGAGGACACAGTTCCATCCACAATGAAAGAAAAAAGAGAAATAAATTAATGCGGTGGTGGAATAATAGCGGGGAGAGAGTATGACAATCCAGGATGGTAAAAACAATTAGAGATGAAAAAGACAACAAAAGTAGAAAAAGAAAGTTAGAGAAGCAGAATGTTACTTATTCTTGTTACATTTAAGAAGTTACAGTGAAGATGCTCCTTCCCTGCATCTGATAAGGTTGGAAGACAGTTCCCTCCGCTGTCCCATGCTATCTCACACTTTCCCTCACTTTCCTTCTGCCATCACATGCTTTCCCCCACTTCCCCTCTGCTCATATCATGAGGCCCTATAGTTTGCTTGGAAAATCTCCACAGTTAGAGGAAGCATTGCTTTTCATGTGAGTCATGGTGGAGACTGTGGGACTAGCATGCTCCCTTTCTTTTCTGTTTGTTGTTGGTATGCATCTTTAAGTTGTTTCTGACTTATGGTGACCCTAAAAATAAATCTTTCTTGGCAAGAATTATTCAGAGAGCGAGGGCACGTTTACACTGACATTATTATGCAACTTAGAACCAGTTTCATTGGATTTCCTTAGGCAAAGAGTACTCAGAGGTGGTTTTGGCAGTTCTGTACTCTGAAATACAGCTGGTATTCATTGGCAGTCTCCCATCCAAGTACACCAGCGCTAGCCCTGCTAAGCTTCTAAGATCAGACAGAACCTAGAGCCTTTAGGGTATTAGGTGTTTGATTAAAATTCTTCACATCTGCTTAGCTTTAAATAAAAAAAAACATGAGGTTTTACTTTATTACAAAATTCATTTACTCTCCTACAAAAATGCAGTTCACAAAACTCTGGTGTGATATATACATGAAAAATATCATATGTAGCACAGTCCTTAGATAAGTCTTTTCTCCCTCGGACATACATGCAGAAATTTCAATCCACTTCCCTCTTCTTGGCCCATCTGAAAATTTCCCACTTTCCTCCCAATGTCTTTGGTTCTTACCTGTCAATGCTGATAGCGCAGAGATTTAAAATGCTGGCTGTGCACATCATCACATCCATCGTTACAAATATATCACAGCAGACACGACTGAAATTCCAGACTCCTCCCGTCACCTGAATAACAATTACAAAACATTGCTTTGCGGTAAACACTAAGGCAGTATTATCACATCTGCAAATTTGTGTTGGTAAATTGTTTTATATGAACACCAATGAATAAAGTTTCATGCTTCTCTTCAGGGACAAGGATTTTTTCTCTAGGCCACAAAATGGAGCAGGCCACAGAATATCAAAGGAAAAAGGGGAAGACAAAAGCTAGTTTCTTTTCTAGGGTAGGATAGATACCAAAAGGGAATAACAAGTAAGAAGATCATTTTCTTCAGTATCACATAAAAGTGAATGCAGTGGAGACTGAATGTAAAATAGGTAGGAAATATCAAGCAAATCCACACACACACACACACACACACACACACACACACACACATTATGCAAACATTAAGACTGATTCTTGATATTTTTTTATGAGATAGTGATCATAAAAAAGGCTTTGTAGCACAGAGTATCAGCATCTCTGCAGCTTCAACTCACTCGGGACTGTGGTCCACTTTTGACACTTCTTTTAAAAGGCAAAGGAACACTGAAGAGTAATGGCTACAGACCTGTGGAAGTGTAGATGTCTGAAAGACCACTTCAATGTATATTTGAAGCAAAGTGCATGACACCTGGTATTTTCTCCCAAAGAAAATTTACAGATCAGAAATAATGTAAGAAGCAGCCCCTTTACTTTGGAAAAGTAGTGCAAATTTGATTTTGTTTTGGAGAAATTAAAACCTATTCCACAAACAAATTCAGTTGTGATTGATGTGGGAGAGAGATGCATTAACTAAACTCATTAAGATCTATTTTCATTGCTTTACATATAATAGAAGCATCAAATTCAGATACTATCATTCAGATGTGTGTCAGCAATGCCCTAGAACAGTGGTTCTCACCCGCCGCCAGCCTCCTCCCCTGGACCAGCTTCTCTTGGCATCAGGATGGGAGCTCGCCTCTCCTGATGCTGGGAGAAGGGAAAGGCAGGTAGGGGGCAAGGGGACTTTGCCACTCTCTCAGCCCTCGCCTGCCTCTTCCCCCGGGCTGTGCTTCTGCCGGCATCAGAACAGGGCCGCTCATCCCGTCCTTATACCGAGAGGAGGGCCTGAGGAAGGCACACAGTGGGCTATGAGCACTCTAATAATAATAATAATAATAATAATAATAATAATAATAATATAACACTTTATTTATATTTCGCCCTTCTCATCCCGAAGGGGACTCAGAGTGGATCACAGTACATATACACGGCAAACATTCAATGCTGCTTTGTATAGACAATACACAGATAGAAAGAACCAGGCCCGTAGCCAGAGGGTCTACCACAGCAAACCTTTCGTATCGTTACCCCAATACCCCCATGCATATGGGATATATTGAGCATGGTGATCAGATCATGATATGAATAAACATAACAGTTTAAATAATGTACCAGTAAGGTCTTCTCGCATACCACCATCAGAATTTCAGCCCCCCCCCCCCCCCCCCCCCCCCCCCCCCCCCCCCCCCCCCCCCCGGCTACATGCCTGGACAGAACAGAAGGAGGTTGTTTGTTTCAGCAGTTTTTGGTGCCATGGAAGGTTGGGCTCGAGTCCAGGGGGTGCTGTTGCTCCATCCTCTATGACGAAGAGCTGCCAGGACTTCCTCCTTCCTTTTGGTCACTCAGCATTTTCTGATCTTCTTTCTTTATGGCGTCGTAAAACACCTGCCCCGCTTTTAGCGGTACCTAATTTCCCTAATCACAGCTAAAGCTGTTTTCGAATTGCTTAGATAAACAATGAGCTAGGCTGACAGTTGGCAGCTCATGTCAACCCGGGGCTTTGAATTTGCAATCTTTTGGTTGATAGATCTTATAATTGCGGATGATTTACAGCTGTGCTAAACCTCCGGCAACCACATGCCTACCTCATCATTTGGCATTAGGATGTGGCAGGCCCAGAGAATGGGGAAAATTTGGAGCACTGGACAAAATTATCCAGAGGACCAAGTCCAGCCTACGAGCCTTAGTTTGCCCATGCCTGGTCTACACCGTCAACTGGATTATATGGTGGTGTAGAAGGGGCTAAGGTCGTAACAGAGCTAAATAGCAGTTCTAGAATTGTGATCTTTTCTGTAATTTTTTGTCAGCCACCTTTGAGTCTCCGTTTTGAGTGAAAAGGTAGAATGAAAATGAAGAGTAGGAGGAGGGGAAGGAAGCGGTGGACAAGAAAGAACACAATTCAGGAAAATTGCTTTTGTACTATTCTTGTTTTAGGACAAGGAAGAAAGTCATACAGGAGGACAACCCTCATTGAAATTTTTCAATAATAAAACAAAGCACGAAATGTGACCAAGTGATTAAAATGGCCAGTGTCTGTTCAGTTGCCCTTCATAGTGCTATAGAACTGAGTCTGATTTTCATTCATTATTCATTGTTTTGGTGTGTGCATCAGTCCACTTTCTTCACAGAAAGAGACAGAAGCCTATTAGGAAGAGATACATCTGTTGAAGAAGCACATGAGAAGACATCGGGCCATATTTCCTACCTGGATATAAACAACAACAAAAGTTCAGATTGGTTTTTAATAAAATAAACGAATATGACTGACAGGCAGTTCCTTGCATGTATGACTAACAACTCCAGTCAATTCATAGGTACAATATTTTGATATAGAAAACTAGCCTTGTGATATTTCAGTGACATTATTATTAATAGGGGGATTTTTTTTCAGAAGACCTTAAAGGTTCAGTTTTGAATATTTAAGATTAAATTGCGCAAAAATGTTATTTTAAGGGCACCGTCATAGTCAATTATATAACGGTCATTATGTGCTCCACCACACTGCATACTCTTCTTATGCAAAGGCTGCAGAACAGCAATGCCCATATACTAAACAAAAAGCCTTATGCAAAACAGAAAGCCTTATACTAAATTTTAAAAAACATATGTTTTGCAACCTTATGCAAAATTTAAAAAAGAATAGATTTCAATTGAACATTAGAAGAAATTCTTTAATGTAACAATGGTTCCGTAATGGATGAAATGATTTTATTTCCTCAAACATTTCACCAATCAGTATTCATTTCAAGGCTGCATTTTCTCCCAATCCAAACAAAATCTTATTTTATATGCTATCATATAAGAATAATTTTAAAAATATTTTCCAACGCTTCACACAACGCACATAAATCAATAATATATGTCTCATATGCTGCTAAATTCTGCATTGGGAAGAGTTAGTTGTCTCTACACTTTGGGCTGTGTTTTGAATTAAATTATGGATGTCAAAGACACGAATACCAAGCAAGATTATTGATGCTGTCCCTTGAAGAGTGCATCTGACCACATATAACATCAGATTAGTAAAATTGGTAAATGTGATGCCAATTATATCTGATTCCAGCTCCATAAAATGTTTCTAGTAACAATTTCTAGAATGTTTAAACAGCAGTCATCATGTGAAATTATCTTTTGCCTCTCTCAGAATCAGAGAAACATATTGAATGGGAAAGCAGGCTGTAGAATTTATAGCTTTGTAAATTAATTCATTTTTCCTATCAAGCTATGATGGTTAAGTCTAGTCTTGTGGTAATTTATGTAACAGAATAAAAAAACTACTCTTTCAAATAAGACGACACTGAACAAATTTTCTGTTTGGAAATGAATAGAAACTCAATTAGGCTCACCTTCCTAGCAATTGCCTGTCCTAGGCTCCCAATAAAGTTGCACTCCTATTTTGAATGTTCAAAGTCCAAACACTGGTGAACATTCATCTAGGGCTAAAATTTCGAAAAGCTAACATTTCACTTATGTGAGGTAATGTATGGTAATGTACTCTATTGCATTTTCTTCCTTAACGTTCAGCAGTAACCTTTCTAAATCTTTGCTGTTTCCTACTAGTAATACAGAATAACCTTCATATCTTCAATTGTTGACATTCTTCCCTCCAATTTTCATAAATATTTCTTCTAAATCTGCTTTGTTATGATACTTAGTGTTGTTACGACTATCACGTAACTCAGTTATACTCTTTGTATAGATGTAGACTCTTAGCCAGTGCATTTCTTACTCCTTCCAAAGATCTTCTGCTATTTGCTCCTTACTGTGTTCATTTCCTCACACATGTATCTGAGAAGGGAGAAATATTTTCATAAATATTTCTTCTAAATCTACTTTTTTATTATACTTAGTGTTGTTACGACTATCATGTAACTCCATTATACCCTGTGTATAGGTGAGTGCTCTTCCAGCAGTCACCAGACAATCCTGCTCCAATGCCAGAAATACAGCTTAATGGTGTAACATTAGACAATGTTGACCATTTCTGCTACCTTGGCAGCCACATCTTCACAAAAGCCAACATTGACACTGAAATACAACACTGCCTGAGCTCTGCGAGTGCAGCATTTTTCCGAATGAAGCACAAAGTGTTTGAGCACTGGGACATCTATAGGCATACCAATGTGCTTGTTTATAAAGCTATGATCCTCCCAACCCTTCTATACGCCTACGAGACATGGACTATCTACAGATGTCACATGCAATTCCTAGAACGATTCCATCAACATTCATAGAATCATAGAATCAAAGAGTTGGAAGAGACCTCATGGGCCATCCAGTCCAACCCCCTGCCAAGAAGCAGGAATATTGCATTCAAATCACCCCTGACAAATGGCCATCCAGCCTCTGCTTAAAAGCTTCCAAAGCTTCCTCTGCTTAAAAGCTTCCATTTTTGCCTTCCGAAAAATCCTGCAAATCTCTTGGAAAGACTAGCAGACTAATGTCAGTGTGCTGGAAGAAGCAAAGACCACCAGCATTGAAGCGATGGTCCTCCACCATCAACTCCGTTGGACCAGCCACGTTGTCCAAATGCCCGACCACTGTCTCCCAAAGCAGTTGCTCTACTTTGAACTCAAGAATGGAAAACAGAATGTTGGTGGGCAGGAAAAGAGATTTAAAGATGGGCTCAAAGCCAACCTTAAAAACTCTGGCATAGACACTGAGAATTGGGAAGCCCTGGCCTTTGAGTGCTCTAGCT